GTAGATTACTTTAGAAGTCTCAAAGGAAAATACTTCCTGAATTCAGGCCAGTATCTCTACCTGGAATACCTTCAAGATGAGAGACTTCATTTAGCATGTCATCATGAAGGCAAAGCAGGTACTTCTGCCACAGAACTCAGCACTGAAACTATATCCTTCAGCCTGGGGATCAAATGTGCACTACATTTCCTGTTAAATACAGCAGCCAAGGATTTAGATCAGGTAATCTTATTGTTCCATCCCAATAACCTAATAGCTTCTGCCATGTAATCTGACCCAGGACAGGTAGTATAAGAAAGGAGGAAGACGACTCATCTGACCCTGGAAACAACTCAACTGTCTATCATGAGGAAAAGGCAGAGATAAATTGTGGCCTTGTCAAATGCTGGAATCTTATACAGCAGTAAAAACAAATGAATCACAGCTTCATGGAAGACAGATGCATTCTGGAAACATGGCGAGTTAAAAAAAAAAAAAGTTAAGTTCAAGAAAACTATGGAGGGACGCCTGGGTGGCTCAGTTGGTTAAGCATCTGCCTTCAGCTCGGGCCGTGATCCCAGGGTCCTGGAATCGAGTCCCACATCGGGCTCCCTGCTCGGCGGGGAGCCTGCTTCTCCTTGCGCCTTCTGAGAGCACGCCCTCTCTCTCTCTCAATCTTTCTGACAAATAAAAAAAAAAAAAACCAAAAAACTATGGAATACCATTTTTATAAAGTTCACAAATAAGCAACACTACACAACAAATTATTTATAAATATATACATATCTGGGAGGGTATTTTAAAAATCAAGAGAATGATAAATATAAAATTTAGGATGGGGTTATCTGGAGGGCAGGGAGGACGAAAGTGAACTGGGCAGGAGCATACAAGTGCCTTCAAGAGTATCCATAATGTTCTAGTTCTTTAGATGGGTGACACGTTAACAAGCATTCATTTTATTTTTATGCTTTATACCTTACACTTATATACATTCTTTTACATATATCAAGCATTATAAATTATTAAAAAAAAAAATCTGACTTTGAGAGGATCCTGTCATATGTCAGAGACATACTTTTAATCCTAAGGCGTGACATCTACCTAACACAACAGCATCTTCATTTTTCTGAAATCTTTCCAAACACAAAGGTCCTTTACAAATAAGGGACATACTGCAGTCAGGGGTGTCATCTTTTCATCAACTTCCCAGTAAAATAGTGTACTCTAACTCCACACCGTAACTCACAGACCATGTTAGGCAACAATGACTTAAAGTATATTTGTCTGCAGAATAGGCCAAGGCTTTTTGAGAAATGAAATATAAAAGAAGATGCATAAGGTATAAAAAGAGTACAAGAGGACAATGTAGAGAATATGAAAAGGGACTCCGAAAAAATAGGAAAGAAACAAACAAACAGAAAAGCACCTCAGAGTAGGAAGAATCAGATATGAACTCCATATAATCTTTCAATTTTAAAAGAAAATATTTATGGAAAAGACTTTCTGAAATACTATTTTATTTTTTTTATTTTTATTTTTTAAAGATTTTATTTATTTGACAGAGAGAGACACAGCAAGAGAGGGAACACAAGCAGCAGGAGTGGGAGAGGGAGAAGCAGGCTTCCCGCGGGAGCAGGGAGCCCGATGTGGGGCTCGATCCCAGGACCCTGGGATCATGACCTGAGCCGAAGGCAGACGCTTAACGACTGAGCCACCCAGGCGCCCCTGAAATACTATTTTAAAAATAGATCAAGACTGTACCAAATATTAAAAACTACAGAAGATACTTACAAAGTCATCTCCTGAGTCAGCTCCCATAGAGGCAACCGATTCCTTGCTCACCGACCGTGGGATCCTAGTAGCACCTCCTGGCCTCTGGGCCACAGCAGTCTCTTCTGCAATTTTCTTCTTTAGTTTTGCAAACATTTTTGCTGTGTGGCTATCCTGCACAGATGACCAGCTCGTGAACCACCCCAGTAGTCTAGTCCTTAGGCCAGCAACCAGGACTTCAGAGACTGGCGCCTAAAAAGTTCCAGACATCCAAGATAGCTGCATTCCCACTTAGATGTGGGCCAAGGGCTTATGGGACAGTATCTATAAATCAGACAAAAGAGAGCTAAGTTAAACACAGGAGAGATTTCGCCACTGAGTTGCTTTGTTAAGCTTCAGGTTTCAAAATTAAGTTTCATAATTTTACATGTACATTTAATAGAACACAATTGCCAAACATTTAAAAAGCACTCAGGTGCTTCACACGCATAAACAGATAAGGAAATCCAGTCTCGAGATGAGGTAATCTGCCAAAGAGTGTGTGCTTAAGTGGCAGGGCTGCTTTTTGAACCCAGAACTCTGACTCACAAGTCCTTACTCTTTCTTTATTACGCCACTTTGGCTATGGCATATAACACATATAGTAAAATTTCCCAGGGTACACATTAACATCACATAATGGCTTGGAATCCTTCCTCCAACATTAACTACAGTTTACTTTTTTTTTAAGATGAAGACAAAAATATGTAACTCAATATGGGGATAAAGGTATAACCTTCTAATGTTCTAGGATGGTTTGCCAACAGCTGTTGACTAGAAAAAGCTGACAACCTAGAAAAAACAGGCAAGCCAGACAACTATCCTATATAAGCATCAGATACCCTTAAACATTTCTTAGAAATACTGCATGGTTCTCTTTAAGGGTGATTAAAATGACCTGAACTTAGTTTTGTCTTCAGAATGCTTTACATGATATTCAACATGAGATTCAAACGTCTTTTCCTCCCAGTGTTATATGAAACACCAATATTCTGGATCCAACCTTAACTTTCCATGTTCTGTGGAGGACACCTAAGTTCTGCTCTAAGATCTACAAATGACTTCTTACCACTTCAGATTATCCATTTAAATTTGTACAGTTCTTCAATGTCTGTAAACCACCTACTCACCTGGCTTATCTACCAGATTTAAAACAGCCTGGAGGTCAAAGCATTCTGTCCTGCATGGAAACAAAGATAAAATGCATTGGGTATTTCCTTTCAAGTGTAAGGCCAAAATATTGGGGGGAAATGGAAGAGGAGAGAGGGAGGATTAACCAGAAGACAGAGGGGAGAATCTATCACTGCCACAATCCTCAGGGGTTACCTTCTCCTTTGCATTTGTGATCTGCCCAAGAGCTTCACTAACAGGCACAAAGAACAAAATCTCTCATTGCAGCCTAAACTTACTTCACCTTGGGAGGCCCCAGCAAAAACAACCTGAATGAGATTACGGTTTCCCAGGGCCAGTATTTATTTCTCAGTTGATTCTGACAGTCACACGTTGTTTGTTTACCTGGCCAGACCCGGGCTGTCTAGTCACAGAACCTTGACTCGCACTAAGTACGTCGCTGAGAAAAAGAATGGCTAAATTGGGTAAAAAAACCAACTGCCTTACGCCCAGGGATAGGCAGGTACCTGCCACGGCAGTCTGGACCCCACTCACTCAGGCTCCTAGAACCGCCCGCGTTTGGACTGTCAAAGAAGGGAACGACTCCGAGTCTCTCCCACCTGACAGCAAGGAAACTGAGACCCAGAGAGGTGTAGTGACTTGTCCAGGGTCGCTCGGGGGGGAAAAAATCCTGAAACCCTAGGCTCCAGACTCCCCGGCCGGGCAGCTCCTCTGCCCCCACCCCCGCCCTTTCAGCACCCCGGTACCGCCCCCCGCCTTGGGTCTGGGGCAGAACGAGGCCACCGGGAGAAAGAGGGGCCTCCTGGCATCTCCGGCCCCCGCCCGCGCACCTGCCGCTCTCTGGGCAGCGGGCAGAGCCCCGCCTCCGGGACCTCTCGTGAGCGCCGGCCCGCGTCACCAGCCCCCACGGCCGGCCGGCGAGCGGAGCAGCGACCCGGAACCGCACCTCCACTAGCGCGCCGGAAGTGGCTGAGCGCGGGGCGGGCCTGCCACGCGCATGCGCCCGCGCGCGGTCTCCGCGGTCGACGGTGAGCTCTTCGCGGCTGCGGTTGGGCTGGGGCCGGTGGAGGGCGCGGGCACGAGGCTGGGCGCTCCCTAAGGCCGGCCCGCCACGTCACCCAGCGGCCCGACCCGTGGATGATGACTGGGTGGCCAAACCTTTATTGTTGTTCTTTTTTTTTTCTTAAAGGGGGCGGTGCGGAGCGGGGGAGTGGGAGGAGCCTTGTGGCAGAAGAGAAAAGCACCTCCTTGGTGCCGTGGGGCCAGCGTGAGCTGTGCGGTTTTGAATCCTAAGGCCGCTGCTGCGCGGAACTGAGAGGGAGTTTCCATTCCGCTCCCCGCATCCCAGTCCCACTGCGCCCTGCACAGCAGCCTTGCCACCGTGTAGTAGGTCATCACTGCGAGTCCGTGCCTCCCTCCTCACACAGAAGCCTGTGGCTTCGGAAACTGGAACTAGGTCTTCGCGCTTTGTGACTAGTTTTTAACTTTGGTGCCTATGACCTACTGGAGGTTACACGTTTTATATCGCAACCCAGGACACACTTAATGTACCATTGAGAGAAAAGTTTCCAGAATCATACCCTTATATAATGCACTCCGATATACTGCATTTCATTAATAAACAAGCTGATGGCAGCCCACTACATTCATTTCATTATCTACTAATGGTCCTCCAACTTTTGACAGTTGAACAAACTCGAGAGAGGTAAAACTTCCTCGTTCAAAGTTACACTGCAAATTAGCCTGCGTCGGGTCTCTGGACTCCTCAATGACAACCAAGTCAGACATTCAACATTGAAGTCGCTCTTGTTCTTGCCCAGGACCCCAAAACAGCCCGAGGGTCAGCAACTTCCACCCCCCCGCCAAACAGTCCTCCCTCCGCGTGTGACAGTTTTGACCACTTCGAGCAGGGCCGGGAAAAAACCAATACTAGGACTCAGAAGAAATTTACCAACTAGAAGAATAAGCATCGAAGCTACGACCCCAAGACAATCCGAAGTGTCTGAGATATTATCTGAAAGAAGCAAACCCTAACAGTTTAGCACTTACGTTGTCAACAATTCTGAAGAAGTACCAAAAACTTTAAGCAAATAATGTTTATTTTTATATTGATGATACACTTAATATACACGTGGATTCAAGATACAAAATTCATTTTCCAAGAGTTCACACCTGATGAATGTAGTCACATTCCTAGAGAACATTTATCAATGCAAAAATGTTTTCAATACACTGACAACAAAAATCAAATTTTCTGTAATCCTTGTTATTAAAAAAACATCAAAACAACAATGTTTAACTTTCCATCCTCTACCATTTAAGTGCCCTTAAGGTGGTAGGCACCATAACAGAAGAAAACATTGGAAAGAAGGGCCTACTGAATCCACTCTGTGGAATCACAGTGTTTACTCTGAAATTCATTTAGTGAAGTAGTTAGTGAAAGGTTTGCTATCCTTTATAACAAATCACATACCATACAAGAGTCAAAAGTGATGAACTCAAGAAAATAAAATGTTTCAATAACTTCTCAGTTTCTAACATCTATGAAGTATTAACTGTAACAGACAAAGCAGAAAAAGGCTACTGAAAAGGAACACAGCAGGAAAACATCCTTAAGAGTATGTATGGCTTAAGCAATTCATAAACACAACAAATAAGACTTTCACAATACCACAAATGTTCAAGTCAAATGATATTGACAATATAATTTTCCCCTAGTCATTGGTAGTAAATAGCCCCTTCAAAATTTATTCTACTGATAACACATATAAAACTAGTGAATCTAAATGGTTTGCTGTCTCACAGAGCTGAGTTGACAGATTTTGATCTAAAATATTAACACACAATACCCAAAATTTAGTACAAATGAGCAACAAGACAAAGTCTCAAGGATTACAGTGATTTGTGAATAGCTAGATAGGCAACCAAATAGCTTCATTATTTGCAAATAGATTAGCAGCACTTGGATAAGAACTGTTACATGAAAATTATTGTGCTTCAATCACTTGAGGAGAGCTAATAAATATAACTCTATAATCCCTATAGTGTTACAATTCTATAACATTCAGTTACAGACGAGCACAATTTTTTAAAAGTATTTCACACCACTACAAAATCAAGTAATTGTATTCTCCAAATGTAATTTCTGCTATGATTGAAACAAGTGCATTTATGCCTAATATCCATAATATAGACAATAGGTTCACCATTATTTTCAGGGAAAAAGATCAAACATAACTTATTTTTAACTCCTATGTGATTAGCTTAACCTTTAGTGAGGATTTGAATAAAGAAAAAGGATATTTAACCTTACAATGGAAACTGCCCAGAGAATATAATAATGTGGCCTGAAATGACAATAATCTTTAGAGCAAAGTAAGAAATGATTTATAACTGCTTCATCTGACTCAATGATAATGAAACCACTATTTGTACTGGTACTACACAATGAAGATAACCTACTTGGATACTTTCCTTCACTTGTAAGCTCTACTGTGAAAATGTTAGGACATTGTATCTGCTTTTCCTATTATCTAAGTCCTGTCTACCTCAACTGGAAGAAGTTTCTAAAATACAAGACTCCTTGATTGCTGAACAGCAAGGTTTATTAAAAACAAACAAAAAATCATTGGAGAACTAGCCATATGGTCTACGTGGCAAAAGCAATGTATCCAGATAATTATAAAAAGCTACAAACATGTCCTAAAATATTTTATCGAACCATTAAAAGTTATTTTTAATAAGATAACCAAGAGCTAAAAAAAACCCCAAAAAACAAACACAACCTCATTCTTCAGGAAATAATAAAAATTCTTATTGCCCTACAACATACTAAGCAATTTTTTTCCTGTAGATTTTTAATACATCACAACATACAATTTAGGAAAAAATCGTAATATGCAGAGGAGGGTAAGAATAAAATTTTTTAAAATGCAGTGGTTATTTTTCTATGGTTTGGAAGTATTTACTTTGGGATTATCATATATTATCATTTCACAATTTATAATGGTTGGTCATACTGATTTGATGTTTGATAAAACTTATGCGTCAAATTTTAATGTTCACAAATCTTAATTTTCATCACAGACAAGTGGATATTCACAATAGCTTCAAAAGGGAAAATAATACTAGTGATATAAAAATTTAAATACTGTTTACTGCAGACCTATAGGAAAGCTAGCTATAATTCCCTATCTCATTCTGAACATGATAGAATCACTCACTCTATTTCATCCCATAAGCCTAGCAGAAGAGTAAAACTCTGAACCCTGAAATTACCAATGTTTCAATAAACAATACTATACCTAAAAAGATGATTGTCTTAGGATATAGACTGGAAATGTTCACCAAAATAGGGAAATATTCCTAATAAGTAGTATGTTTTATGACCAAATTCAGGCTTAAGTGAATCTGGAGTGCAGAATTAACAAAATGTACTTCTAACTATTAAAAAACTGAATCTACTGTTCAAATAATGTTTTTAAAAAATCGCACTGCTTAAAAGAAATCACACTTAGAGTAGTCTGATAAGTAATAACTTTTAAAGAAAACACAAAAGAAATTAACAAAAATATTTTAAAATTAAGAAATGGTGCTTCAGTGATTAACAGTATTATACAGAAATGGAATTCTCAAAAGTTACACCAAACTAGTAAGTGAAAAATACCAAATTTACTTTAAGAAAACATATCATATTTACAGACTTCCAAAGGAAATATTTCTATGGCACCAACAAGTCAGTTACACTTAATTCAATACATTTATCTCTACCCAATTTAAGGGTATGTCTCCCTACATTATCCTGACACCTTTCCTTTCAATAGGTGATTGATTCCATTCACACATCAATTATTTTTCCTTAAACACAAGGCATGCTTAATAAGTCTGTTCAAAAACTCAGTTAAGCTGGAACACAGATTATACCATATTCTGAAATTTTAGCTTGAGGAAGATGAATTGCCCTTTTTTTTTTTTTTAAGGTAAAGTGGTCACAGTATCCAGGAGAGACTGGGAAGTGCAGCATGAATAGAAATAAAGTATCAAAGTCTTAAGAGTACAGAATGGGGGAAAAGTTTGGTTTTCTAAGCAATTCTTACCTTATTTAACTGCAAAGTAACTGGCTTTACAACTGTTAGAAACAGAGGTCATATTCACAATGTCAGTCTCATCTACTGCACTTCTTACTGCTGCTCCTTTCCTCAAATTAATGTCCATACTGAGCCTGAGTCAGTTCTATGAATTTTATTTTATTTATTTATTTTATTTTTTTAAAGATTTTATTTATTTATTTGACAGAGACAGAGATAGTGAGAGCAGGAACACAAGCAGCGGGAGTGGGAGAGGGAGAAGCAGGCTTCCCCCGGAGGAGGTAGCCCGATGTGGGACTTGATCCCAGGACCCTGGGATCATGACCTGAGCCGAAGGCAGACGCTCAACGACTGACCCACCCAGGCGCCCAGTTCTATGAATTTTAAATAGCATAACATCTACTCTGCTACTCTCCAATTGCAACGAATGATTTGGTGACTAGAACAGTAGAACGTCAGACATGATGGACATTTTCACTGATTTTCCAGAAATAATACATTACCAAATTTTAATATTTATTTATGAAAAAGGCGATTACAACTTTATTTTAAATTTAATACTGTAACTGAGAGGTGTTGTGAATAGTTGGCTTCCTATTAAAAATACAATGAAGAGGCAAATGTAACATTTGTTGGGTGGTAAAACCGACTTCTGACTCTAACTCCTCTTTTTAAGATAATTTAATATTGTATTACACAGATGTGATCGTTTGAAAAATAATGGGGTAAACAGTTGTTTTGCAGTTATATTTTATCATGCAAAAATAACCTCTACTTAATTTTTGTGGTGAATGTGTTCAAGGGTATACTAAACCTCTCCTACACTCTTCCGTGCAAATACACAGGCCAGGTGAAAACAGGAGTAACAAACACTGATACTCTGTGATATTCCATGTTCACACATTGGCACTGCACATATTCACTATCCTCTAAGAGGATATCCTCCCCCACCCATCATCCTTGGTAGAGGTTTGGAGGCCCAGATCTGACAGCATGCCATGCACCTAATATTAAGAATTCTATTTCATGTGTGAATATATCATCAATTTGCAGAACACAAGTGGTCTCATAGAGACAAAGAAATACAACTGGAGGCATTTTATTCACTAGAAGCATTTTCTCAGATGAGCCTACTCATCTTTGATATGCAACTCCAATAAGAAAAATCTATAGTCTGAAATGCCAAGACAGGACTAAATTAATCACAGCTGCTGCAAATATACAGATTAATAATCTCTTGTTCCTTATTAAATCCCACCCCCACCTAGGTACAGCCTTCCCCTACCTAATGCCCCTTTTTCTGCCTCACAGAGACAGATATAAAATGGGACACATCGGTGAAAACACTGTTCCAAAATTAAAATTTAGTATCAGGTATTGACATGGCAACTACAAACAGAATTTCTCTATTTAAAGGACATTTTCCTATCTATTTTGAAATGTGATCAAAGTAATTTTTTCCACAGCCCCTTAATTCCCAATATAAATACTACTCAATAATAATACTCAATTATGGGTCAAGAAAAATAAAGGACTGAAATGGCTTAAGAACCTGCTGGTGTCTCAGTTTCACACACTAAGGTTTTTCAGGTTTATATCACTAATTTATCATCCATTTAAATGGAAATTGACAGATGATTTTAAAGCTAAGAATATCCTGCTTTCTGTTAATATCTTCATATCCTAATTCCAACTCCAAATTAGCCAATTTTACCCAAACACAAGCCCCTCAAAATAGAGGCTCATGAATGAGATACAGCCACAACCTAATTACAGCAGCATGAACGATGCCACTATGATGTCCTCATAGAACTTAAATAAATTCAGCCCACAGTGGGTATGGGTATATAATATACACATACTGCATCATTGCATACCAATATATTTACAAATATGTACATATATACAAAAAAGTATACAGAGATTGCATTTAGCATCACAAAAATATACACATGCGATTACAAATAAAATAAGATTTTTAAATAAATAAGGTCAACAAAAGAGCCCCCCGTGTAAATACCCTTTGTACTCTCCAAACACACACAGGAACATACACATCCAAAATATCACCAGGAGATTCATACCATTCATATTCGTATCAAATCTTTTTACTCACTTAGGGTAGGGAGGTGGTTCTGAATCACTGGCAGTAGCCAAGTTGGCTAACCCTTGGCACCTTACTCTATTTCCAGTCCAGAATGTTCTCTATATATCAGGCTGATTACAAGTCTTCATGGATAACTAAGTACAAGATTTTCCAACTGAGTCCAAAACCCTTTTAAGAGACAGAAAGTTATGAAGTCACACAAGTCAGAGATTAAACTTGGAGAAGAATGCTAAAGAAAGCTCCACAGATTGATATATAAATCAGATTGGATGCTTTTCCATTTTCCTCGATGAAATTCAGTACACTTACCAACTAATCTGTTTCAGGGAATTCTATTACAAGAAGAAAATAAAGGGCAGTAGCCACAAGTAAGGAAAAAATAAACCCCAGATCCTGTATCAGGAAAATTTCAGTCATGACTAGATTGCACTTTGCTTTTATAATTTCAAAACATTTCAACTTGGTAAAAATATAAAGGGTATAATAAATTCTCTGTGCTTTGAGAGGTTTTGAGAGCACCATTTCCTAGGAGGAAAACACACACACATATACAAAAAAATATATCCTGGCTGGAATCAAGGCTAAATTGTCTGACTTGGGGATTTCTTATAATTAATAAATAAAAATTTGCAGGGCTGACGGATTTCCTGGTTTCAATATTTGATACATTTTAAAAATACCTTAACCTTTTGTGCCAAAATGGAAATCTCTAATTATTCCTTTCTTGTTCATTACAGAAAGCAACCTGAGCTACCAGAAAGACTGGGCTGAGGTTAGGAGATTTGAGTTTTAGTTCTAGCTCTGCCACTATGAATAAACCTACAGTGTTTTAGGGTCTCAGCTTTCTCTTCTGAGAAGTAGGGGAAATAGCTGCTTTACCACCTTCAGAAATATACGGATAAAGAAAGAGAAAATAATTCCATTGTGCTTATTAACACTGTTCTCTGTGTAAGGGACTTCTTGCAATCCTATACCTTGTTTTTTTTTGTAGTGATTCTTAAGGGAGGTGAGAGACTGTATCAGAATCTCCAGGGGGAGCTTGTACAATTTGAAAACAAAGAAGTGCTTTTTTCCCTTGGCTTTGCTTTGTTCTTAGTTCCAATGTTTAAATTTCTATGAATTCTAAAATTAAATAAATAAAGGGCTTAATATTTATATATTTATAAAGGGGAGTGGTATGCACTGAAAAAAGAGATTCTTTGCCTATACCCATGGGTGATTGTCCTTTTACACTTCTTATGCCTTGCTTAAAGTAATGTCTTAAAATGTAGAAGCTTGGTGATGGGTACAGGATGGTTCATTAAATGCTACATATGCTTAAAATTTTCATAATAAAAGTAAAAAAAAAAAAGAAAGAAACATGAATTGTTTGCACAAATATAATCTTCTCACTAAGGCTTACCCTGATCACTCACTTAGACACTGTTCTTCACCCCAAAACAATCAAACCATTTCCCTTACCATGTTCTAAATTTTCTTCATACAACTTACAACTCTCTAACATAAATTTTATTATGTTCATTGCCTGACTCCTACTAAAATATAAGCTTCATGAAGACAAGGATTTTAAAGTCTCATTCATTTGCTTTCCCAATGCCTAGAACAAAATCTGGAGTATAGTTTGTTCAGTCCACGTCTTCTTGAAGGCATGAATGAAACAATGGTACAGAATTTTCTAGCACAGTTTTCCTTTCTTAAAGATTCAAGATCGCTTCGGCTCACTTTAGATTTTTAACCACCAATAAGAAATTACACTACTATCAGTTTAAGTAACAATGTCATCATCTAAACCCTCGTCGTGATTTCTAAGACCCCTTGCTCTTGGACAAACATGTTTCTAATCACAAAAGCTCTAATTTCTTCACCAGATTAGCTTCTACAGTAACCGAGACTCAGATATTCTCGTGAACAAAAACAAGTTAAATATGACTTAGAAAAGAAAATGTCTATGGTAAACTCAGAAAAACTAGTTTTCCAGGTGGCACGGGGAGGGAAATCAAGATTGCAATTATAGAACCATAAAACTGGACAGGACCTTGGCCTAATGCCTTCATTTTACAGATGAGAATACTATAAAACAGAAACAAGAAGATACTTGTCAAAGGGCATAAAGCTAGCTACCAGGGAAGCCAGGATTAGAACTCAGGTCTCCCTAGTTCTCAGACCAGGGTTCTTTATGCTAAACAGGTGAGAATAAAGCTCAGGAGAATAAATACTATTTTAAGCATCAGAGGAGAGGAAAATACGTGAGGTCAGGTACATTACTGGCACAGAAATTCAGGGGGACTGAAACAAGAGGTCAGCCTATTGCTATAATCCAGGTGAACACCGTTATGAAAGGAAAGCCACAAAGTTTATAAAGGTACTGAAGAAAAGAAAAGCAGTCTTTATCTGATAAAGAAAAACAACCCACTAGGCAAAGGAAAACTTATCCTCCAGGATAAGTTTTCAAAGCTTCTGAAACAAGGTTTAAAAGAACAAACAAAATAATGAAAAAAAAAAAAAAAAAGAATGAAATACCACGAAGTCCCCTAAACCCAAGAACAATAATTTCAAGACTTCAGATGAAAAATCAGCAAATTGGGACAGGTATATGAATAACTTAGTCCCAAATAATTCCCTATGCCTGAAATGAAAACCAAGTTAAAAATATTACAGTAAAATTTCCCTAAGGACACAGGAAAGAGGCACCAAAAGCTATCACCTTATTTCCCCTGGGACTGCCAGAGGTAGAATGTGAGCCTGTACAAAATCTACAGTTAGGTAGACGGGCTTTTGGTTCATAGATTTCTGAACTTGAATGCTGTGGAGTCAAAAGAAGGGGGGTAAAAAAACCCAAAGCATCGTCACAATGCTTATGAAATTATGAAGGGGATGACAGAGAAGAAAAACACAAAAAACTTTATATTATATATGGAATCCTATTTAAAATAATAAAAAAAAACTTGTGCATGAATATGAAATATTAAATATCAGGAGTTTAAAAAAATCTTATTTCCAAATTGTCAATGCAAAAGTTACTTCCATTTTAGGTTAAGTAATAATTCAGTTATCCCCAACTAAAATTAATAACATCTCTGACTTTGACATCTCATAAACGTGAACTAGGCAAAAAGATTATATAATCTCTGTACTCTATGCCACAGCCCTCAATCTGGATAGTCTTTAAACTTGATATCATGAATTAAGATTAAATAGAATTCCTGTGGAAACATTGTATTATGAAACCAACAATCTGATTTTTTGACTGAAATACTTAAAAGTCTTTTTTTTTTTCATTTCTAGCATTCAGATTACAAAGAAAGCAAAATATGCCAGCATATATCATGATAACACAGGGCTCACACATTCCAAGTGATATTTATCATCTTAAGACTCCAATTAAAGATTTAACTTTTAGATGCAAATCAATCCTATACAGTTTCTGAAATTATGACAGGATTTAATGAATTAAATGATTTCAAAAATGGTCTTGATAATGCTTCAAAGAATCACACATTTGTCTACCTACTAAGTTGGAATGAAAAGAAATATTATGGAAAGACTGTTCTTGATTTTTAATAGTCCATGCTGGCTAGTTTCATCTTTGTGAACAATGATATATTTTCTAAATCCACACATTTAAGGTCCAAGTATAAGAGTTGGATTTTCTTCATTATATAAAAATAAATGATTTACTCTTCTGAGGGTGAGAACATTGACTATATGTGTGTAGGGATAGATGTTGGAGGTAAGTAGCCATACTTCAAAACCGAAAAGTAAAAATTCCAAGATTAATTGAGTTTTTTAAAAGACTTGAAAGACTGTATTTTAAAACAGTTACCCTAAAAGTCTGAACAATTTTTTCAGTTTGTTTTTAAAATGGTGGCCTTAAATTAAAAAATTAAAACTAAGTAACACCACTACGTGTCTGTCATCACATTAAAAAACGGCACCATGTAAAATCTGTGGCAAATGAAAAATTGTTTCAACAAGAGGATTTTTGTTTTAATAGTCATCTATGGTACTCTCGAGGAACACATTTCGAACATCCAGAATGGACGCTAATTCCAGAATGTGCTTCTGGAGGTGAGGGTTCTCCACTGTTTCATCCCTTGGCAGTTGGGGATATGATTCTGGATAGTTTCGTGTTTCCTGGTAGGCAAAGGAGAGAAAAGTCAAGTTTTAGAGTTTAATGAAGGAAATTATATACAACATTAATAATATTACTGTTAACATTACAATATTAGGAATAACTTAATATGTAGTTCTCTGCATAGTAGTATGATTTTTTTTTTAGGTTTTTTTTTTTTTAAGATTTTATTTATTTATTTGTCAGAAAGAGAGAGATAGAGAGAGAGAGAGCACAAGCAGGGGGAGCAGGAGAGGGAGAAGCAGACTCCCCGCTGAGCAGGGAGCCCGACATGGGACTCGATCCCAGAACTCTGGGATCATGACCTGAGCCGAAGGCAGACGCTTAACCGACTGAGCAACGCAGGCGCCCCTAGTAGTATGATTCTTAATAGCAGTGTACTTGTTGAACACAGGAAATTGCTGATATTTGACTACTGTGACCTTCAAAAATTACAGTTTCATACGGTTCAACCTAATATATTCATTCAGTGAGTTATTTTACAAGTATTTATTGGGTCTTGCCACTTTTGAGTACTCTGCTATATTGTAGAAATCATATAATGCCAACTACTTAGGGGAAAGTCCTAGCATATGTAGGATTTCAACAAGTATTTGGCTAAATGAATGAATTGCAGCAGAAATTAAAATGAGAGGAAAGACATGAGAAGCACTGAAAAAGTCAAATTAATGAGCTTGGCTGGGGCACCTGGGTGGCTTAGTCAGTTAAGCACCTGCCTTTGGCTCAGGTCATGATCTCCGGGTCCTGGGACTGAGCCCCACATCAGGCTTCCTGCTCAGTGGGGAGTCTGCTTCTTCCTCTCTATCTCTCTCCCTCTACCCCTCTCCACTGCTCATTCTCTTTCTCTTTTGCTCTCAAATAAATAAATCTTTAAAAAAAATTAATGAGCCTTGGCAATTAATTATAGGACAGGGAGGTGTCAAAGATGACTGTGAGATTTTAGGAAGAAATGACATAAGAGAAGAGCTGGGAGCCATTTGAGAGAAAAAGAGAAGTACAAGAGGAAATGATTTGGAGAGAGTAATAAAAGCTTCAGGTTTTAGGTATATTTTATTTGAAGTAATAGGGTAATACAAACAGAACTGCCCCTCAAAAGGAATTTGAAAATTCAGATTGATCTCAGAAGACGGGTTTGAGCAGTATATGTAAAGACGGATATAATATGCATGGAGATAAATATTAAAGTCATGAAAATGGCTAAGATTTCTAAGAATATTAGCACACAGTGTGAAAAAAAGAAAAAGAGTCCCTAAAAAGGGAAATACCAGAAAGAAAGGGGAAAAAAAAAACAAAAAACAGAAAAGGAACAGTAAAGGAAAAAGAAAAAAAATTGTAATTGCATAGAAGCAAAAGAAAGAGACCGTTTCAAAAATGAGGTATTCTCACTTGGAAATTCTTCTTTATTTGGTAATTTCTTTTTTTTTTTTTTTTTAAGATTTTATTTAGGGGTGCCTGGGTGGCTCAGATGGTTAAGCCTCTACCTTCAGCTCAGGTCATGATGCCAGGGTCCTGGGATTGAGTCCTGCATCCGACTCCCTACTCATGGAGAGCCTGCTTCTCCCTCTCCCTGCCGCTTCCCCTGCTTGTGCTCTCTCTCTCTCTCTTTAAAAAAATAATGAAGATTTTATTTATTTGAGAAAGAGAGAGAGAGAAAGCATGAGCAGGGACGAGTGACGGGGGAGGGACAGGGAAAGAGAGAGAAGCAGGGAGTCTGATGCAGGGCTCAATTCCAGAATCCCAGGATCATGAACGGAGCCAAAGGCAACCGCTTAACCGACTGAGCCACCCAGGTACCCCTTGGTAATTTTTATAGACTATAATTCTGTCACTCATTTAAAATTTCCTGGAGAAATAAGTTACTGCTTTTCTATGCATCTCACATGATAGTTCATATATTCAAAAATCACTCCTACCATTCTTCAGCCCTTAGGCATTACTCATTACAATTATAAAGACCAAAATTTTGTTTTACCACACTAAATACTAAATAGTCCTCATAGAGACAAAAAAAGAACTGTTCAACAACCCTAAAAAAGAAAAAACCAAAAAACAAGATCTAATGGGGGACTATTATATGGTGAATAATTCTCTCAGCTCACACAGGGCTGAGAGATGTTTGAGTTCTGACCAAACACTTCCTAGAGTGGAGAAAATCTGTTGAAACAGGGGACATATGAAAGAGACCCCAGAAAAATTATGCCTCTTAGTATTGGGCCAAAATAAACCTACATTTTATGCTAACACTACTCTAAATCTATCCCTAAAATGCTTAAAAACAAGCCATAGGAAGGTCAAAGGAATTTGCAAGTTGATTAAACCCCTGCTACAATAAAGTCCAATATTATTCAAAGAAAGACAACAAAGTCCAGAATTCAACATCATGAAATTCACAATGTACATACTCTACGAGAAAATTACTAGACATATAAAAAATCAGGAATATGAGAGCCCTAACCAGTAGGAAAAATCATAAACACAAACTTATAAATAATAGAGAATATAGTATTAGCAGATAAGGACTTTAGCTCTTACACATACATTCAAGAGCACAAAGGAAAACATAATGAGGGAAATGGAAAATATTAAAAGAACCAAACAGAACTAGAGATGAGAAAAATGTAATTCCTGAAATGAAAAACTAACTGGATAGGATTAACAGCATTTTAGACACTAAGGAAGAAAACATCAGTGAACTTGAAGACACTGCAATAGAAACTGAAACAGAAAGAAAGAAAGAAAAAGACTTTTTTGGAAAAATGAAGGGCACATGAAGTGATGTGGAGGTTAACAACAGGTTGTCTAATATATATGTAACTATGTCCCAGAGAGAATGGAGGAAGAAAAATATCTGAACAAAAATGACCAGAAGTATTCCAAAAATATTCCATAGATCCAAGATGATCAATGAACTCTAATTAAAAAAAAAAAAAAAAGAAAACCCTATCAAGGTATATCATAACCAAATTATAGGAAATAATATGAAGAAAAAATCTTAAAAATACCCAGAGAAAAATGAAAAGACACATTACACATCACGATAATTGATAGAACAAGTATTCAGAAAATCAGTAAAGATATAAAAACCATGATGAATAACATTATAAGTCAAGGTTATCTAAAAGACATTTATAAAACTCTTTACCTGATGTTATGACATTACTAGCATGTATGTTTATTGAAAGTATCTGTGGAACATTTACCATGATAGATGACATCTGGATGATAAAACAAGTTTCAATAAGTTAAAAGGATTTAAGCCATACAAGGTATATTATCTGACCACAAAGGAATTAGCTTAGAAGTCAGTAAGATAAAGATAACTCAAATATTTATTTATTATTTTTTAAAAAAATATTTATTATGTGAGAGAGAGAGCGAACGAGCAGGGGGAGGGGCAGATGGAGAGGGAGAAGAGCCTCTCAAGCAGACTCTGCCTTGAGCATGGAGCCCAATGGGGGCTCGATCTCACAACCCTGAGATTATGACCTGAGCTGAAATCAAGAGTCAGACACTCAACAGACTGAGCCTCCCAGGTGCCCCAATAACTTAACTTATATATTTAGCTACAAAACAACATATTCTTAAATAACCTATGGTTCAAAAAAAAAAAATCAGAGTGAAATAAAGACTGTTTCAGAGAAATAAATAATGAAAGAATTACCATCAGATTTGCACTCTAAGAAATGATAAAAGATTCTATAGTAAGAAAAATGATAGCAGACGGAAAATTAAACACAGGAAGAAATAAAGAGCGGAAAATTTTAAAAAGATTTTATTTATTTGAGATAGAGAGCGAGAGAGTACGAGTGGGGCGAGGCACAGAGGGAGAGGGAGAGGGAGAAGCAGGCTTCCTGCGGAGCAGGGAGCCCAATACAGGGCTCAATCCCAGGACCCTGAGATCATGACCTGAGCCGAAGGCAGACACTTAACCAAATGAGCCACCCAGGTGCCCCATCATTTAAAAAGTTTTTAAAAAGATCATTCATTGACTGTTTAATGCTATGCTAACCACAAAGTATCATTTAGTATATACCGATTCATAAAAGTCAAATGTACAGAGTTGGGAGGGAGAATATAAAGGTATACTGTTATAAGACAATTATATTAAATGTGAAGTCATATTAATAAGTAAAACAACATATAGAGGTAAATCAATACTATTGTTAAAATAAAATTCTAAACCAAAACAAAACAAAACCTCCATTAATTCAAATAAAGATGAAAGCAAAGAAAGAAAAAAGGTACAAACCACAGCCAGGACAAATAGATAACAATAGTATATTTAAATCAAACTGAGTTTTTTTTTTTAAAGATTTTTTATTTATTTATTTGACAGACAGATAGAGAGCACAAGTAGGCAGAGCGTCAGGCAGAGGGAAAGGGAGAAGCAGGCTCTCTGCTCAGCAGGGAACCCGATGAAGGGCTCGATCCCAGGACTCTGGGATCATGACCTGAGCCGAAGGCAGCCGCCTAACCGACTGAGCCACCCAGGCGCCCCTTAAATCAAACTATGTTACAAAATTACATTTCATATTAACATAATTCAAAACTAAAAATATCAAATGAAAGTAGAGACTGGCAAACTAAATAGAAGAAAAAAGCAGGACCTAACTAATGCTATTGAAAAGAAATCCACTTTAGGGGCACCTGGGTGGTTCAGCTGGTTAAGCATCTGCCTTCAGCTCAGGTCATGATCCCAGGGTCCTGGGGTTGAGGGCGGCATCAGCATCTGGTTCTCTGCTCAGCGGGGAGTCTGCTTCTCCCTCTGCCTCTCTGCCCCCCGCCCCATGCTCTCTTTCAAATAAATATATAAAATCTTAAAAAAAAAAAAAAAAAAGAAGAAAAGAAAAGAAATCCATTTTAAGTATAAGGAGAACCATAGGTTAAAAGTGAAAGGGTGAAAAAAGATTTGCTGTGCAAACACAAACCAGAAGAAAACAGGTATGGTTATATTAATATCAATCAAATAGATTGCAGATCCAGGAATATTGCCACATGTAAT